AGTCACGTCAATATTTCCTTTCACACTGAATACGTCGCGTCAGTTTTGTGGCGAAGTTGTGTCAAGATGGACGTACTTCTCCAAGGCATAATTTTACGTAGGCTACACAGAAGAAGAAGAAGGGTAAAGAAACGACGAAATCTGTTTTGGATTCATCCCATACATACCAGGAGACCAGTGTTCGGTTCTTTTAACCATTTATTTCCCGACTTACTAAATGACCCCAAAAAATTTTACAACTACTTTCGTATGAGCCCAGATTTGTTTTTTCAACTAAGAAATTTGATCGCTGAACGGATTCGAAAAGAAAATACCAACTACAGAGCTGCCATTTCCCCAGAAGAAAGACTAGCCGTTTTCCTGAGGTAAGGAAACCGTTTCAAATAAAGCAAATTTTTTTGCAAATGTTTAATATGTTTATAAAGAAAAAACAACATTCTTACAAATACACCAAGATTCTTAAAAATGAAATATAACTATTTAAAAGTATGCAGTACATACGACTCCAAAGTATTTGTGGGTGTAATGTCATCAGCCAGTTCTTCTAGCGAATGTGCACTACTAGCGGAATAATGGGAAAATGTAGAAGCAGCGACTGATGGTGGATTCGATTGACAACGTATCTTTGTCTGTAATAAATTAATGACTTCGCCTTTAAATTCTAAATTTTCGAGAGGTCCAAGTTGTTTCATGGATGGAAGTAAACTTCGTAGAAACAATAAGTCCGGATCTTGGCCATCTTTCGCGTTATCCGAAATTGCCTGTAGGTGTTTAAGGTATTGCCTATCAATTTCATTTTCGGTATCAATTTTTTTCTTTTGTCTTTTCCCCCGAAGTAGTAAGTCATCAGAACGTGTGGAACCACTTGGCGAACGAATGTCTGGATACGTCTCCTGACGATCCCCCTGTGTCTCGCGTTGAACGTCTTGCATTGCATTTTCCGTTTCATTTGTCTGAATTTGTCGTTTCCTTCGAGTGAGTGAGCCAAAAGCAGGAGTAGCGCAACTTGATGTACGAATGACGTCGTATGCCTGCTGATGAAAGTCTTCTTCAAGCGCTCGTGGCGAGTCTGGGGGCGACTGTTGGCTTTCTTCTTGAAGCTCATCTTGCGACTCAATGTGACCCTCAGAAGTGTCATCAGTATTGGCAGTGACGGATTCCGGAACGTTTCCCGACGTTGCTTTATGTTTTAATGTAGGATCCAAAAACCACAGGAACTTAAAATACGGCCATGTTATTTTCGGGACACTGTTTGTAGCGGCCCCAGAAGGGACACTTTTCAGTTTTCGTTTTTCTCGCATGTAATTGCTTCGTAAATTTTGCCATTTTGCCTTGACCTCTGCGTCTGAAACCAAAAACAGGAATAGGATTGTTTATTTGGGCAGACAATTCATTCAAGGAAACATATCTATCGTAAAACAGCAACTCAATAAATATATGTTGTGTACCTCTTGTGTTGTAGGTATCTGGCAACAGGAGAATCGTTTACATCCCTCAGCTATACCTTTCGGATGGGAATCAGTACTATTCATTATGTAGTGAAAGAACTGAATGAAGTAGTTTGGACTATTTTGCAACCGTTGTAGCCTGTGCCTACAGCAGAGAAATGGAGAGACGTTGCGCAATCATTTTATACAATTTGCCAAATGCCGAACTGCGTCGGGAGTATCGATGGTAAACACTGCCGAATAAAGTGTCCGCCAAACGCTGGTTCTCAGTTTTACAATTACAAACATTTTCATTCTGTGGTTTTAATGGCTGTCGCCGATGCAAAAAGCAATTTCATTTTGATCGACGTAGGAGCGTATGGTAGAGACAACGATAGCACAGTTTTCTCAGAATCTACAATGGGAAGAGCATTTAAAGCCAACGCACTAAACATCCCTGGCTCTCAAGAAATTATTAATACTGATATTAATATGCCTTTTTATTTAGTAGGCGACGAGGCATTTCCTTTGAGTGAAAACTTAATGAGACCTTATGCTCGTAGGCAGTTAAATTTTGCCAACAGAATATTCAACTATCGGTTGTCCAGAGCACGACGAACGGTAGAGTGTGCGTTTGGCATATTAACTAAAAAATTTGGTATATTTCAAAAAGCTATCGAAACTGATATACAGTTAACCGAAGGCTCAATTAAAAGTGCTTGCGTAATACACAATTTTGTACGTCAAACTCAAAACGAAAGTGACAAATCTCTGGAAACTGAGTTTTTGGAACAAAATTCCAATAATCTTCAACTTCAGTCGTTGAGACCTACAAGTACTCACAGAGCAAATACAAAGGCGCTGCAGGTCCGAGAAAAATTAACAGAGTATTTTATGTCTCCAGGAGGTTCTGTACCATGGCAAAACGAAAAATGTCGGGATGTTATCTAGACTTTATGGATCTATATCTTTGTTTCATGAAAATATACTGCAATAAATACCTACTTACCAGTTGTGTTTAATTCTCTGGCTATGCCTCTCCACACGGCAGCAATGAAATCACGATCTCTGTGCTTCGGGTGTTTAGGATCGTAGATTGCCTCTTTTGCTTGCACTAATGAAATCAAGGTTTCCACATCCATTCTGAAGTGCACGACTGTCAAGACTGGCATTAAAAATTCAACCGGCTGAGTCGCAATCAGTCTTGACAAGTCTTGACGCGATCGGACTGGACGTGACGCGCTTAGTATGAAACCAGATCTATACATTGCCCTTATTTCAACGATAAATTAATATTTGCAATCCAGTAGCGTCCGACTTGACTGGACGCGACTGGACTGGACGTGGTATGGCCGTTGGCGAGAAATATGGTGATCTAAGGCAAACAATTCTAGAAATTATTCCTCAGAAGAAGAACAAAGAGATGCACGCAAAGGATTCAAACGTGTCGCAAATTTACCAATTTTGAGCACTTTTCTAATCGAACGTAAATAAATATTTCGATGAATAAAGGAGAGTTCGGTAAAATCGCAAAGGGAATACAAACGTCCCGAAAAATGCACAAAACGAAACAATTTTCAATTTCGCAAAGTGTAAAAGTAGTATCGCTAAATATGTATCAAAAGGAAGCGAAAATTAGAAAAAAAAGGAGACAACGGCACGCGGTGTTCCCAAGCGGTCACCCATCCAAGTACTGACCGCGCCCGACGTTGCTTAACTTCGGTGATCGGACGAGAACCGGTGTTTTCAACGTGGTATGGCCGTTGTCGAGAAATATGGTGATCTAAGGGAAATAATTCTAGAAATTATTCGTCAGAAGAAGAACAAAGAGATGCACGCAAAGGATTCAAACGTGTCGCAAATTTACCAATTTTGAGCACTTTTCTAATCGAACGTAAATAAATATTTCGATGAATAAAGGAGAGTTCGTTAAAATCGCAAAGGGAATACAAACGTCCCGAAAAATGCACAAAACGAAACAATTTTAAATTTCGCAAAGTGTAAAAGTAGTATCGCTAAATATGTATCAAAAGGAAGCGAAAATTAGAAAAAAAAGGAGACAACGGCACGCGGTGTTCCCAAGCGGTCACCCATCCAAGTACTGACCGCGCCCGACGTTGCTTAACTTCGGTGATCGGACGAGAACCGGTGTTTTCAACGTGGTATGGCCGTTGTCGAGAAATATGGTGATCTAAGGCAAACAATTCTAGAAATTATTCGTCAGAAGAAGAACAAAGAGATGCACGCAAAGGATTCAAACGTGTCGCAAATTTACCAATTTTGAGCACTTTTCTAATCGAACGTAAATAAATATTTCGATGAATAAAGGAGAGTTCGTTAAAATCGCAAAGGGAATACAAACGTCCCGAAAAATGCACAAAACGAAACAATTTTAAATTTCGCAAAGTGTAAAAGTAGTATCGCTAAATATGTATCAAAAGGAAGCGAAAATTAGAAAAAAAAGGAGACAACGGCACGCGGTGTTCCCAAGCGGTCACCCATCCAAATACTGACCGCGCCCGACGTTGCTTAACTTCGGTGATCGGACGAGAACCGGTGTTTTCAACGTGGTATGGCCGTTGTCGAGAAATATGGTGATCTAAGGCAAACAATTCCAGAAATTATTCGTCAGAAGAACAAAGAAATGCACGCAAAGGATTCAAACGTGTCGCAAATTTACCAATTTTGAGCACTTTTCTAATCGAACGTAAATAAATATTTCGATGAATAAAGGAGAGTTCGTTAAAATCGCAAAGGGAATACAAAAGTCCCGAAAAATGCACAAAACGAAACAATTTTAAATTTCGCAAAGTGTAAAAGTAGTATCGCTAAATATGTGTCAAAAGGAAGCGAAAATTAGAAAAAAAAAGGAGACAACGGCACGCGGTGTTCCCAAGCGGTCACCCATCCAAGTACTGACCGCGCCCGACGTTGCTTAACTTCGGTGATCGGACGAGAACCGGTGTTTTCAACGTGGTATGGCCGTTGTCGAGAAATATGGTGATCTAAGGGAAACAATTCTAGAAATTATTCCTCAGAAGAAGAACAAAGAGATGCACGCAAAGGATTCAAACGTGTCGCAAATTTACCAATTTTGAGCACTTTTCTAATCGAACGTAAATAAATATTTGATGAATGAAGGAGAGTTCCTTTTTTATTCACGATAGTTTTTGCGCTAACTTGTTTTCCCCTTGTGTTATTATATTCCTTACCTTTTTGGCAGAGTTCTTTTCGAATATTATTTTTCCATGTTTGAGGTTTACGCACTTTCTTTCTTACAAGTTTTTTCTTTTCTCTTCTTGTCTCATTTAGTTGGTTCTAAATAACTCTTAGTATTTATTTCGATCACTTCGATCTGTTCTTCTAGCTCCAAAATTTCCTTTTGGTTTTCGGATTCCCCACTTTGTGTGAGCGTAAAAGAGGCAGAGAGAGCAGGGAACTTTGGTAGAGGGGAACGTCCGCCGAGAATGGCGCGCTAGATGGTTCCTGAACCTACCGCATCTGCCCCGGCATTGTGTGGAAATCAGAGAGAGCGCTGAGCACACTTTACGGGTTCGTTAGAGAGCTTTGATTTATCCATAATAAATTTGAGTTTTATGTGCGTCGAGTTCTTTTAATCCTACATGGTAGCAGAGCTACGCAACGATTTATAACAATATAAAGCTTTTACGGTAATTTTAGTTAGGTAATAGTATATTAAAGTACAAGTGTCATTTGACGAAGATTGTCGCACGAGGTAGTTTGCCGCATAAGCCGCGTAGCGGCGAATGCGGCAAAAGCCGAGTGCGACAAGTAGACAAATGACATGTGTGCTTTATACTATTTTTTCTATTTCGACTTTTATTTTAAATAATAAATTATACAAATTATAAATATTGCCTTTAGGCGTTGTTAGGTAATTTTAAACTATCATTCAGTGTATGTTGGTAATAGACACAATTCATTTATTTTCACGTTGGCTAACCTGATTTCTGTATTTTCAAACTTCAAACTTTTAATTATTTGGTCATAATTCCATTTTGCGGCAGTTATGATAAATACGGATGACAAACACGTCTCTTGTACCCCACCAGAGATCCAAGAGATTGCCAATGAAGCGACGTTAAATTTACTGCCTGTAAAATCGAAAGTAAAGTACGAGGAGTACAAAATTTTTGAAAACTGGCTGGCCGAGAAGGGTGTTCAAAAAGTAAGCAAGAATGTACTGCTGGCATATTTTACTACGCTAAGTAAAAATAAAAAAAGTTCTACCCTTTGGAGTATATATTCAAAATTAATCGGAATTAATACAATCGGTCAAGTTCCTCGTACGTTATTTACACTTTACAGGTTGTTTAGTTTTGATTTGACGGATACCGTTGACAGCAAAAAAGCGAGGGGTACCAATCCAACAAAATAAAAAAAATAATGCGTTTCTATTTCTTTCGGCATTATTTCTGTCTAGAAACGCACGCAAACTGGACCAATCAAGTAAGGTTTCGGTATTGTTTCCACATCGAAATAGAAAATAGTATATTAAGATACAAGTGTATAATCAAGTCTTTAAAGCACGCGCAACGAGTTTAAGGGCACGACGCAAAGCGGAGTGCCTTTAACGTTGCAAGTGCTTAAAGACCAATTATGCACGTGTATCTTATAGTATTTTTTATTATACCTGCAGTATAATTTAAAAATAGGAAATACAATGAAATCATATTGACGTTATACTCGAATACATGTTTCATTAAGTGGGCTGGGTGTTCGAAATTTCACGATTGCCATGGAAATGTCACTTGACGTTTGCTTATAAAAATCATCGTCTTTGTCAATAAAACGATTTCCGTTGAAAAAGATAATACATCGTCCATTAAATCGCTTGTTGTAAAGTCTAAACAAACGTTGGTAGGTGTAAAATCCAAATCCAGTAAAGTCTATTATAAATAATATGAAAAGTTGTTTCCATGGATGAATAGGAAGTTACTTACGAATAAAGTCTTAAATGCATCGATAATGCTGGCATATATGAAGGAAATGTCAAAGGTATTTAAATCTTCTATCTTTTGGTGCATTCATTCAAAACTTCACTTATTGCTGGGATTAAAAAGTGGAACAGATTTGGAAGCATACCCTAAATTACGCGCGTTTGTAAAAGCTTCAACCAAAGGATAGGTACAAAAGCCAAAGAAATGTTCTGCATTTACAGAAAGCGACCTAAGAGGATTTTTTATTTCATCCCAGATGACAGTTTCAAAAGTCATACTTGAAGTATCGTTACTTAGCAACTTTAAAGCACGTGTGTTTTAAAGGCCTTTTTTCGCACGCATTTGAGTATTTAAAACGGAGATTGTGATTCAGGTATAATAAAAAATTGTTGTAGTCATCCATGCATTAGCAGAGGATTTGTATTCAACAGGAATGTCTGCGTTTTTAAATGCCCGTGGATTTTTTGCCTTTCCTATCACTAGCATCTTTAGTTTATGTGACCCATTTGCATTGCAACAAGCTAAAAATGTTACCCGTTCTTTGCTTATTTTTCGACCTGGTGCGGTCTTCTCTTGGGAACGAACCAGCGTTTTTTCCGGCAACATTTTCCAGTAGAGAGCCGATTCGTCGGCGTTGTATATTTGAGTAGCCACAAGATTTAATTGTCTTACCTTCTCTTTAAATGTAGTCAAGAAAGGATTGACGACACTTTGATCATTGGATAGTTTTTCGCCGCACACTTTTAAAGCACGAAGACTATGCCTTTTTCGAAAGTTACAAATCCAGCCCCTGCTAGCTCTAAAATTATCATTTCCATATGTTTCGGTATAAAACTGTCTTGCTTTAGCAGATAAAATTTCATAGGAAATTGGGACATGCCTCGATCTTTGTCTACAAAACCATGCATACAAACGAGTTTCCATTTCAGCATATTCAGCTTTTCGTAAAGTTTTTCTGAGCCCTGGGGCAGATTCACATTGACCAATAAATCTTAAAAAAACAACAATTGTACAAAAAAAACACTAAAATTGTTTTAGAATTAATCCTACCTGTCTATTTTAGCCTTTTTCTTTTTTATGTCACAGATTGTAGATCTTCCAACCCCATACTCAGCGACCAACACTTTACCACTTTCTCCCTTGTTAAGTCTTTCAATAATTTCACTTTTTTGTTTTATGGACAATGTCTTGTGTTTTCTTTTAGGGGCCATTTTTATTTAAGCAAATATTAAAATAAAAACCCACTTATATCACCTCAAATGGCATTACAAACATCCCATACAACAAGCAAAGTAGTATGTAAATATGTATGTATCACTGCTCAAAAGCGTACAAAGCAGTAAAAATGCTGCACAACCAGTTTAATGTGAATCCCAGATGATGTAATTGGGGAAATCCCTGAACATCTAGTCACAATTTCTATAGGAAATATGCTTAAAAGTACAGGTTCGGATTATCGAGTACTATGAAATTCGGATTACAGAGTACCCAATGTATTGAAAAGCTTGTTCGGACTACTGAAGAATTCGGATTATCAAAAGTTCGGATTATCGAGTCTGCACTGTACTACTTTTACACTTTGCGAAATTTAAAATTGTTTCGTTTTGTGCATTTTTCGGGACTTTTGTATTCCCTTTGCGATTTTAAGGAACTCTCCTTCATTCATCGAAATATTTATTTACGTTCGATTAGAAAAGTGCTCAAAATTGGTAAATTTGCGACACGTTTGAATCCTTTGCGTGCATCTCTTTGTTCTTCTTCTGACGAATAATTTCTGGAATTGTTTCCCTTAGATCACCATATTTCTCGACAACGGCCATACCACGTTGAAAACACCGGTTCTCGTCCGATCACCGAAGTTAAAGCTTGTTTCACAATTGACGCAAACGTAAACGCCAACGGAAACGCAAACGGTAACGTGAACATGAACAAATTCGCAGTCTCACAATTAACGTTACGCTCCTGGAATGTTAAGTTTTGTAACGGAATATTTTGTTTATTAAAATGTGTTCTGTGGTAGTTGAACTAACCTAAAAAATGGATACCGACAGCGAAACTGACGAAGTAATAGTTTATGTATTCATGTTACATATTTACGCTCTGTATTACTACATATCCAAAATAAATAAGAAGAGGTAAATATATTCCATACACTGAGAAAAATGGAATGCTTGTTTCAATAAATTTTACAACATTGAGTACAAAATGTTGAAGCAATGAATACATTTATCCGAGAAATGTGGCTACTAGTTGTATCAAACTGGGGATTGTGATTCTTTTAATCACTTTTTTTTGTTGAGTTTATATTATTAAAAGGAACTCTACTTACGCATTGATTACAAAACAACATGAAATTTGTTTGACTCGATTATTTTGCTTTTCGAATCAAGCGTTAGACTTTTTTTATGGGAACATTCAGGGATGTGTGATTTGATAGCGTTATTATGTTGTGACAATACAAGGGCGCTATTATTCCAACAGTCGCTTACACTCCAATCTACAGTATCTGATATTTCCTCCAAGTAAAATAATAGTACTGTGTACAATTATTACAACTTTCAAGGAGCATCTTACATGTTTCATCCAACGCACAAAACAGTGTTGTTTCAAAAATAAACGCAGTTCAATTGAAACTAAGTGGAATGAAGTCAGCATAATGATTTCAGAAACAGAAACTCCAATGACAGCAGTATCTACGCATTGACGCGACGCGAACTATAAGCATAATGAAACAGGTTGTTGAATAGGGATTGTGGTAGTGTTCGTTCAGTGCTAATTTAAAATAATCTAATTACCTATCTGGACAATAAATCATAAATTCATAACAATTGTAAGTAGGTACCTACCCATACTTAATTTCTTATATTCCTGTGCACATTTTTTCTGTTGTAGAATCGGAACAATTGCATTAGGCATATGGAAAATTTGTTCGTATTGTGATGGGAAACGAATAAATTCAGTAGAATAAAAACAAGTAAAATATCTTGTCCTACTGAATATATTAGTTTTTCTCCGTTAGTTTAAAATCGTCCTGTACCTATACCATTGAATGCCTATACTTGCCTATAAATATATAAAAATCATATTTTCGTTTTGTAAGATTGACAACAGTATAAATAAATAAAATTAACAGCTTTACGTATTTCACTGAATCACCAGTACCTATTTAAATGGAATAATAACAATCATTGGTTCAATTCTAATACAGCATCGATCTAACATTGATGAACGGTTGGTATAAAAATGCTTCAACATTGGTTCAACGATATTGTATGTTTGAATGAACATCAAATTGCATTCCTTACAACATAATTATTTTTGGTTTAAAACTTTAGACTACTAAGGCAAAATATGAAATATATGTTGAGTTAACCAATTACTATTATTTAATCAACTGATAATATGACTTCAGTTGAATACCTTTTATTTAACAAAATTTCTATTTTCGTACAATGCGTATATTACATTGGCCATATTTAACATCAAAAACTGTTTGAGGGAAGTATTTTCTGGTTGTTTCAACTATTTATTTTTCTCAGTGTAGCATTATACCTAGATTAATAAGCAAAATCGTTCATGTTCTTGTTAGGTGGTGGTTCGCCCCTTCAACACTCTACGGGACCAGCTGGGAGCATTTGTAAACACTTTTAAATATTTTAAAGTGCATGACCATGAAAAATTTTTTTCATATACCCGGATGTATCCTGCACAATTTGATAAATTGCTTGAATTGGTGAAGCCCAAGTTATTAAAACGAAGTCGACGTCCTGCCCTTCTTCCCGAAATGCGTTTAGCGATGACTTAAATACCTAGCGCACGGTGGTAGTTTTGTAAATCTTTGATTTGAGTTTAGAGTTGGTCACTCAACTGCCTCAAAAACAATTCGGGAAACTTGTGAGGCCATTTGGGAAGTATTACATACGGAATATTTCAAAAGATCTACTGATCAAGATTGGTTAAACATCAGTGAAGAATTTTGGACACGATGGAACTTTCCGAACACACTTGGAGCGATTGATGGCAAACATGTTGCAGTACAGTGCCCCACAAATTCTGGATCTTTGTACTACAACTATAAGAAATATTATAGTATCGTACTGTTGGCCTGCTGTGATGCAGATTATAAATTCACTTGGGTAGATATACAGGGTGATTCCTATAGTACCTGCCACCGTTTGGGAGCGTGTAGGTGGTGCGTAGGGGAGTATTTTGATATAGGACACTTGGGGTCGGAAATCTAAAATAAGGGTGCCAGAGCCAAATTTACCTTCTGGAATTTCGCGGCTGTAGGTAGGCAACCCAACCGGCCGGCGGTGCACACGGAGCGATCTCAGGCGGCGATGTGTGGCTGACACTTGATCAGAATTTTGTTTAAACCCACGAAATCCCGTCTGCAACGACGCGTATCAAGTGAATAAACACTATGGCACGTTTTACTAACACGGAATGCTAGTACACGGGTTTGCCTCGAAACGTTCCAACACATCCTCCTCTAAGGCATTTACCAACGGGCGATCGCGATCACGGGCGCTAGTGGGCTGCGAAATAGGAGGAGGTCGGTGTAAACAAACAAACTTTTCGAAATGGGTGCTTAAATGACCCAAGTATCGATGTGCATCACGAATCTGTGTGTAAAGTTAAGCCTCCGTCAGCTTACCTGCAATTGCCCTGTCTCGCACAGTCGGAAGTGAATTTCTTGAAAGACCTGTCTGCAGGGTAACTGACGGTTTGGATACCGCTCAGCGTACGCTCGTCGTGCAGCTCGTGCGTTACCATTTGCCAATCCGTACATGAAGTGAATGTCCGCGTATTCCGTGTTAGTAAAACGTGCCATAGTGTTTATTCACTTGATACGCGTCGTTGCAGACGGGATTTCGTGGGTTTAAACAAAATTCTGATCAAGTGTCAGCCACACATCGCCGCCTGAGATCGCTCCGTGTGCACCGCCGGCCGGTTGGGTTGCCTACCTACAGGCGCGAAATTCCAGAAGGTAAATTTGGCTCTGTCACCCTTATTTTAGATTTCCGACCCCAAGTGTCCTATATCAAAATACTCCCCTACGCACCACCTACACGCTCCCAAACGGTGGCAGGTACTATAGGAATCACCCTGTAGGTGCATACGGTTCTGAAAATGATGCTGGGATTTTCAAAAGGTCACAAATAAAGATTGATATGGAAACTGTAAGCTCCAGTTTGCCTGAAGGAGAATTGAATGGGAGCTCAGCAAAGGTACCATATTACTTTGTGGGTGATGAAGCATTTCCCCTTAATCATTATCTGTTACGCCAATATCCAGGTAGCGGATTAACTAATGAACGACTTATATTTAATTATCGGTTATCGAGGGCTAGGCGTACAATCGAGAACAGTTTTGGAATTCTGGCCAGTCGATGGCGTGTATATAGACAACCTTTATTGTGTTCAGTTGAGACAAGCGAGGCCATTATAAAGGCAACCGTTTGTTTGCATAATTTTCTAAAAATAAATATTTCTGATAAATATGCACCTCCTACATTAACTGATGTAGTGTTAAATAACGGCGAAGTAGTTGAAGGGAAGTGGCGAGAAATTGTCAGCAATGACAAAAATTTAACGCGTGTTGGAAGAATTGGTGCAGATGTGTCCTCGAAGAAGGCATATAGTTAAAGAGATATTGTAGCAAAGTACCTGCTCACTCCTGAAGGATCTGTGCCTTGGCAAATGAAATATATTAATAGAGGCAAATAACATTTATTTCTATCACAAAATATGTATATAAAAATATGTATTGTATGTATGTAGTTTTATTATACTTCCGAGGTATATTTTTCCAACAGTTCCAACACTTCCCGTTTGAATTTCAGTTTTTTGGCCTGTGGAATGTGTTCCATATCAACCACTACAGATCTCATAAAATTCATATCGGACGAATTATGTGATGCGTCAGATTCAATGCCCTTCTTTCTAGCGTTTACAAATGAGGTAAATGATTCCACAGCTTTGGTTAATGTCTCGGGGATAGATTTATTTTTCGTAGCTTTGGGAGTGGTAGTAGTGGTGCGTGGTTCAGAACTAGTAGGTGATAATAATCCGCTGTCATTGACATCATACCACCCTTCTTCAATGTCTACACTTGGGCTGCTTTGTGAGGAGAAGATTTCAGAATCTTCTGCATCTACAATGTGTTCTTCTGTATGCACTTGTGCCTGGGAAACACGCGGAGTTGCTGATATGAGTCTGGAATATAATATAAGATTAATGCACACATTTTTTATGTCAATTTAATTACAATTACCTTCTCTTTCTGATATGCGGTACAAGCCATAACAAGAGCTTGAAAAACGGAAAAGTACTTTTGGTACTTATAACATCAGCTCCTGAACCTGAAGGAGCAAGTTTTAAACTGTCCGTATGGGCTCTAACGAATCGATCCCTTAAATTGTCCCATCGCCTCTTCACTGTTTCCGCTACAAATAAGGAAAGTAAGTGCTAACAATCGTACTGTATAACTATTGATTTTACCATCACTATTCAAATGTTCTGCAATGGCTAACCATGAATTTTCTTTCATCAAGGTATCTTTAAATTCTTTTAATTTTTTGTTGTATACATTGGGATGTTTTTCTACACACATAATTAACAATTCATCGAAACCTGGATTATCGCACATCATCACAACTTATCTTTCGTTGATTCTATCACAGACTATTCTATTCAATTCAACAAACGGATAATCATGCAATACTTCGTACAAAAATAATTAAGTTTGGTCTTTAAAGGTTATGTGGCTGGATCGCAAGCGCGCGCATGTTTAAAACGCCAACGGGAACGGGAAAGATAAAAGTTGACCAACTGTCACGTTTGTTTCACGTTTTCACGTTCCCGTTGCGTTATATGTGAATGGAAATAGTAAATATTCATGTTTTAATTAAATGCTCACGTTCGCGTTGACGTTGGCGTCAATTGTGAGACAGGCTGAAGCAACGTCGGGCAGTGTTGCCAATGTTGGCGATTTATAGCCATTTGGGCTACTTACATCGCATTTCTGGCGCACACATTTTACATTTGGCGACTGGCGATAAAGTTTGGCTACCCAAAAAAAAATTTAGCGAAACATGGCTACTCATAACCCATAATTGAAGTTAGTGTGCGGCGCCTTCTTAGAAAGTAACAAAATGCGAGATAATGTAGTGGACGTGACTAACATAAAGAAAATAAAACAGGTATTAAGTAAATATAAGTAGCCAGGTCGCATCGCAGGTAGGTAAGGTAAGAGGTAAGTTCAAAGGTTCTATTGTTGTTGCGCCATAAATAATAAATTAGACACTTTGTGATTAGCAGATGTAACAAGCCGCCGCCGTCGGAATTCTGGCAAATTTGATGAATGAATAAGGTAGGTATAGTACAAAACCCTGTTTTGCGGAAAAGGGCTACAAAACAGGATAATAAAAATGACGAAATAATAAGTAAATGAGACCGCACTGGCACCTTCTGACCAGTTTTCAAATTGTTTTGTTAATGTTTCCCACGCCCACCACCCTTTGCACTGCACTTGCTATTCTGCATTTTTTAAGTTTAAACTCTAAGTATTCATCTATTGCAATTTGCATCGTTTACATCTCAAGTCAAGTTCGTATCACAATCACATACGTATAACAAGTATAATCAGTAGTTGCGTTTGATATATTTTAATTGGAACTTGCAAGTTCGCTGTTCGCAGTTTAGTGTAATAAGTAAATAAAGTAGGAAAAGGAGTTGCAATGCCAAAGCAATATTCCCGAAAATTTAATCAGAAGTGGTGCTCTGAATCTTGGGCAAAAGGTTAGTAGTGCTAGTTATGTAGTTATTTTGGTTTATTTTGCATGTGCCATGTCGTCAGCGGAAAAAAAATCCAATGAAAAAAAAACTACGGAAAAAAAATCCAGGAAAAAACAGCCACGGAAAAAAAATCCAGGAAAAAACAGCCACGGAAAAAAAATCCTACGGAACAAAAATCCACCGGAAGTATAATCCATAGAATAATAATCCATGGAAACATAATCCATGGAAAAATAATCCATGGAAAATTAATCTATGGAAAAAGTACAGGATTTACCATCCAAGGAAAAAACGGAAAAACATCTACGGAAAAATCTGTATGAGAAAAAGGGAAGTACCTAAACCTGTGATAGCGTTACGTAAAAAAAAACACAATAAATGCAAAATATAATAAGTTTTAATAACAACTAGGGCCAGGGCGTACTGTTGACAATACAAAATATGTATAAAGAAATGAAGTATAATAGTTTCAATGAACTATGTAAATCGAATAGTATGACCTACGGCTAAAATGAAATCTTCCATAGTTCGGGCCCCGTCTCTGTATTCTACGCAAAGGGTGTTTAGTCGTCTCTGCAAGTTTTCAGTTGTGGTGCATTTTAGTATATTAGTATTAATTTAGTCAGTTTAGTGTAATGTGTAATAATTGAACTATACAGGGTGATTCAAATTCAAAGGCCACCATGGGGATCTCGGGAACTGTAAGAGATAGGTAGAGGTAGTTTACATTTGACAAAGTTACCCTTGATGGTAACATCATCTATTTTTAATAAGAAATAACGTTAATTCGTAAAAACGCAAGAAACTACTTACGTACGTTACTTAAGACAAAGGCAAAAAAGATATTTTTTAGGCTATCATCACAAAAACGTTGATTTTGTGGTCGCTTTTGCGGCCATAAAGTTTCACTTTATTGTACGCTTCTGTCAAACTTTACTTTATTGTACACATCTGTCAAACTGTACCTACTTATTTGAAACTGATGTGTGAGAACCAGTAAGCTGTTTGATAGAAAGCGTCTATCTGGTTTGTCCCCATCAAGGATTGGTCCATCCACGTGCGTTTTTTTCATTTTCAGACTTGTAGGAATGTTTCACACTATTTTGCGTAATCACAATGTTCACATTTAAAATTATAGTTTGACGTTTCAATCTTTGCTGCTTGCAGAGACCTTTTTGAAGTGTAGAACCAAAACATGAGGAAGATGTTGTTGCTTACATTATTATACGAAAAATCACCAGCAATTAACCGAGAACACAAGTAGCTACCTATACCTACCATCAAAGTAGGTAATCAGGTTTCTAATAATTGTACGTTAACTATAAGGTCTTGGAAGCCACAGTTACGAAGGACCTATTGCATTTGACATTATTAAAATCTTGTGCAACCGAGGAAGTTGCGATTGTACTTTTACTCTCAAACGCCTGCTTTTATATCATATATGGCTTAGGGTCGCAAGCGCAACGCTTGCAGCTTCCAAAATTTCATTTAGGGTATCTGGACTGTCGCTATCACCCATTTTGATACGCACAAAACACACGCAAAGATGCTAATTATAATTACATATGACAGGAAATGCTTTGTTTTTAATTGTCTAAGATAACTATGATTTTCAGAAAATATATGTTTATGAGCAAATTTTTGAATTCTTTTTTGATGATCGCCTAAAAAATGTTGTGTGCACCTTGGCCAAAAGTGATTTGTTAGGCCTCATCTGAATTGCGGCCTCGGCTGCCGCCTCGGCCACAAACAGCAGCTTCGGCCAAAAAAGATCACTTTTACGGCCTTGGTACACAAATAACTATTACAAGCATTTGAAGAATGCAAGTAAGAGGATGAAGAAAAGAATGCATTAACCCATCGTTAAGTAACAATCCTGATAATTGCCTACAATATAATTTAGAAAATTAAGCCAGAAAAGAACACTGTTCCTTTAATTTAATATACATTCTTTTTTCCTGACTGTTTTTTCCAGGATTTTGTTTCCGCTGACTTTTTTTACCTGGCTTATTTTTCCGCTGGTTTTTTTTCCGTGCCTCTTTTTTCCTGGATTTTTTTTCCGTAGTTTTTTTTTCATTGGATTTTTTTTCCTAGATTCGTGCCATGTTTATCAAAGCCTAGCTGTATTTTATTATTTTTTCTATATTTAAAGACACTCAATTATGTTTAGGTTGGCTTATGAAGAGTGGCGACGATGACCTGCAAGATGCATATTGCAAGCTTTGCAAATCTGCATTACGGGCCCACATTACCGATTTAAAGAAGCACGCAAATTCCATTGCACATAAAAGGAGGGCAGCAGATTTGGTTCCTGCGGCGAATAAGATAACGTCTCACATGCAAATTCAGGTTACAAATGAGCAGAAAGAAAGTGATCTTAGGATTTCCCATTACGTCGCAATGCACACATCAATTAGGAGTGTCGACCATCTAACCGATCTCATTAACAATGTCATGAATTCTCAATTTCCAACGTTTCGAGCCATTCAACTTCATCGAACAAAGTGTTCCCAAATAATAAAGAATGTGATTGCGGTAAGTTTAATGGATGAGCTAAAAACAGACATTATTTCAAATAATAGTAAATATTCTCTAATATTGGATGAGTCTACGGATGTGTCTGTGATCAAATATTTATGTGTTTGCATTAGATATTTTAGTAAAACTAAACAAGAATTCGTCACTGATTTTTTGGGACTCATACCTTTAGAAAGCGCTACCGCGCAATCATTGTTTGATAGTCTAGTTAATTTTATACATAGTTTAGGGTTTAATTTAGATAATTTAATAGGTATAGGTACAGATGGGGCCAGCAACATGTGTGGGAGAAATAATTCAGTTTATACTTTGTTACGATCAAAAATTCCACATTTGCAATTAATAAGATGTATTTGCCACTCATTAAATCTAGCTGCTTCAAAGGCTTCCGATGAATTGCCTGCAAGTGTAGAATTTTTATGCCGTGAAATATACAACTGGTTCAGTTGCAGTCCACAAAGAAGGGAACAGTATAAACAATTGTACAATTTGCTATCGGAAAAGAAATTCCAAAATTTTGTACAACTGTCATCAACCAGGTGGTTAGCCAGGTACAATGTAATAGACAAAATATTAAACCACTGGGATGAGTTAAAAATACATTTTAGCGTAGTAGTAAATAAAGAGAAATGCTATACAGCCAGACAATTAAAAGAAATTCTCTTTGATGACGCAAATTTATTACTTTTAAAAATTGTTAAACCAATATTGCAGGAATGTAATCGTTTGAACATAACGTTCCAAAAAAATTATATTAATATTGGTAAATCATATCAAGATTTAGACTCCTATTCTTGAACCGCTCGATAAAAATCGGTGAGTGGGTAACTTTGTCATCGGTGACTCACTCACTCACCAAATTCCGTATTCTTGACACTAATTGAAAACCGCTCGAGTTTGTCAACTTGGCACCACTGTATTCTCACTTTTTTCTCATGTCACTTGTTTGAATCTGTCAAATTGTGATTCATTGCGCTTGCGTTTGTAATTTTTGCGATTTATTCAAATTTAAAATTAAAATATGTCTCGCGCTTCAGAAGAGCAAAAGCTGATACTTGTTCAGTTTTTAAAAAAAAATAAAAACGTCGTGGCAGGGAAAACGTCACCTAATTTTACCAACAAAAATATACACGAGAAGTGGAAGACGGTTGCAGCATCTTTGAATAGCACTGGAAGGCCTTACAAAGATTGGAAAAATTGGCGAAAAGTAATGTTTTCATTAATATGCAACTCAATACCTTATTAAAGCTATATATATTGTTGCAATTTTAGACTTGGCAAGATTTATATTCTCGCGTAAAGGCGAAAGCTGCCAGAATCAACCGGTCAACAAACCAAACAGGTGGCGGTCCCCCCAGTGATGAAAAATTGACCACATTCGAGCAGGATATTGTGGACACTTTTATCAAGCCGGTAGTGGTAGAAGGAGATTCATTAATTAAAGAAAGTGTCTGCAATTTCCATGCGAATGATACAAGTATATAGGCTACGATTTTTTAACAACTTTCACGTTACAATTTTTCCTTGTCCTTTTAGCCACATCCATGATCTCCAATTCCAGTGGTGCAATTGTTCATCCCATAATATTGAACCCTGTTGACGAAGTGATTTTTTTCTTATACAGTGTAGCACTGCTTCAAGACCAGATCGACAAAAGATTTTTTGGACTAGTCACTTCCTTCCTGAGAAAATACCCTTTCGTCGGTCTGTAGTGATTGTGTCTACTAGTTTATGATTATTCTATTGTGCACATTTGAAATGTACATCAACACATGTATTTCAGTAGGTGAGAACCTATTTTATACAGAATTTCTTATATAATCACACGCCAGCTCTAGTGATTATGACGATAAGTAATAAGCTAAACTAGAAAATAACTATACAAGCATTGATCTATATTAAATGTGAGTGATTCGTACAGAGGTTAACCACTATCTCCTACAAAAACGTACAACACGTTTTATCATTTCATTGATTTTATTGAGAATGTACTAACCAAGTAAAAAATAGGTTCCTCGTCTCTCTGCATGGATGGTACGCATTACCTCTTGGACATTAGAATTATTCCAAATGAATGCATCGTGGGTACTTCCAGGATGAGATGCTTTTACGTTCAATATCTTAAGATTTGAATCGCAAATGAGCTGAACGTTTATCGAATGAAATCCTTTGCGATTTATGTACAAGTGTCCTGGTCGATCGGGATCTTCCGCGGGGGGCGCCACAATTGCCACGTGAGTACAATCTATACAGCCGACAACACCAGGGAAGTTGTACTTTTCGAAAAAACCCATTCGTACTCGGTCCAGTTCCTCGAAGTTATGAGGGAATCTTACAAATCGATTGAAAATCGCTGGGACATTGAAAGCATCGCTCACTTCACTGATGCATCGACTTACAGTCGGTTGGGAGACAGACATGAACAAGTTGGAGCCTACATCCATCTGATAAGATCCCGAAGCAAAAAAGCGTAATGCAATCAATATCTGCCATATAAGAAAAGAAACCAATAAGCTGTAAGTGGAAAATTTTCTTTACTTACACGAATGGGAATCTCCAAATCTGAAGCTCGATTTGTTGGTCTCATATGGGGGGACAACACCTCCACAATAATCCTAAACAGTTCCTTGGGAAAACGAAACATGTTTTTAAACTGGACATCGCTAAGAATGGCAATTGCGTCAGCCCGGGGTCTTTGAACACGGACAACTTCTTCTGCTTCCTCTTCGGCGTCCAGCAAATCCAACATAACCAGTTCGTCCATTTTAATTTCTTGAATGAATCTTTATATACTTAGCAAAACTGTGGTAAAAACAGAGGTGTAGAAATTGTACACTTCACACGGATTATGCACACTTTCGCGAGCAAAATGATAATCGTTAAAAAGAAGGAAGTTTAATAAACAGTTTCGTATAAATAAATAATAAAAATCGCCTAGAAATCACAGGAGAACGAGCACGAAAATTTATCAAAAGCGAGGTTAGATTTCATTCATAAATCATATAAACACTGAGAAACGACAAGGTGAAGGATGCATAAAATACTCACGAAAAGCGTGACGGTTTTATTTATTGCCTATACTTCAGGAAAATATACGAGTAAGATCACCAAAAATCAGTTTAAAAGGATCGCACAACTCAAGTCACTGAAAAAAAACTGATCGACTGAAAGCGCTCGACATGTGACAGTGTGAGTCACCCACTCGAACGGTTTAAAGCGTCAAGAATACGAAAATATGAAAATCGCTCGAGATGACGTCATACTCACTCACTCACACGGTAGTCACGCGTTCAAGAATAGGGCCCTAAAATATCATTTACTTATCTCCTAGCAAAAAAAATTATGAAACCAGTGTTTTTAAATAGTGGATTGCAAGTAATAGTTGAGAATATCGATAACCAATTGGCTTTTATTCAACCCGAAGATTCGGATTTCGGGGTTGATTATTTCACAATGCTAAATAAGGTGAAAATTAGTTCAGAAAACAAAATTTGTGTACAAAACAAAGCATTTAACTTTATTCACAAATTACTCGCAGAAGTGATTAGGCGTTTACCAGAAAACATGGAGTACTTTAAAAACTTATAAGCTTTTTTTCGCCTGAGCACTGCCTTTCACCAGCAGTACGATGCAATTTTATCGATTTGCCATTTTTAAAAATATTTGCAGATAGCAGTAAACTTTCTTTAATGGAGACTCAGTATAATAAAATGTTAAGTATTAACTGGTCCGAGATATTCGGCGAAAATGTATTAAGTAATACATTTATGTTTTGGGCTAAAATGTACACTTATACAGACGCAGGAGGTTCTTTTATTTTTAAGGAGTTAGCGGACTTTGTCCTAACATTGTTATCTTTGCCAACTTCAAACGCTGTAGTTGAACGTGTATTTAGCATTATGAATGCGGTAAAGACAAAGTTACGTAACCGAATGCAGTTTGAGATGCTGTCTAGTTTATTGCGCATTCGGGTACGATCATATAGGGACGGAACGTGTTGTAATGCGTTTAAAGCCACTGCTGAAATGTTACAGCTTTTTAATAGTGACATGTACATTAATCGGCCAAGCACTAATACTTCGCAAACTCATGCTTTAGAAGAAGCAGATATAGAAATTCTATCGGCATTTGAAGAATTTAATGTACCGTGCATTTCAATTATTGAATAAGATTACCTATGTTATGTAAAGATGTAATAAATTTAATTAAAATACCAATAAAATGATTTTTTAATTGTGCGTTTTTTTTAAATTGTAAGGTTGGCTACATTTGGCTAACAGGTGGCGCTTATGTTGGCGATACTGATGAAAAAATACTTGGTAACACTGACGTCGGGCGCGGTCAGTACTTGGATGGGTGACCGCTTGGGAACACCGCGTGCCGTTGACTCCTTTTTTTTTTCTAATTTTCGCTTCCTTTTGACACATATTTAGCGATACTACTTTTACACTTTGCGAAATTTAAAATTGTTTCGTTTTGTGCATTTTTCGGGACGTTTGTATTCCCTTTGCGATTTTACCGAACTCTCCTTTATTCATCGAAATATTTATTTACCTACGATTAGAAAAGTGGTCAAAATTGGTAAATTTGCGACACGTTTGAATCCTTTGCGTGCATCTCTTTGTTCTTCTTCTGAGGAATAATTTCTAGAATTATTTCCCTTAGATCACCATATTTCTCGACAACGGCCATACCACGTTGAAAACACCGGTTCTCGTCCGATCACCGAAGTTAAGAGCGCGCTGCCGGAGTGGTGGGGATCAGCGTAGAAAACACACTTAAAACATGCCTTTAGATTTTTGTACAATTTTTAAAAACCGTTTGTGGTATCGGCCCAATTTTTTTTTATATTAATCAGCAAGGACCAGCGCAGGAGGTAACGAATTTTCATCGATCTACATTCGCTATAAATAGGTTAATAACATTTTTGAAAATGGGCAATTTTAATTTTTTATGAAATCAAATCTCCATGAATTTTCGTCATTGCCTTCTTGGGGTCATTACAAAGATAACACATAAGTTTCAAGTGATTTTATGGCAGGCGCGGATCCAGAAGAAGTTTTCACCGGGGGCGATTAAATAAAAGTAAATACAATGTGTATTATTACCACACAGTATAAAATATAGTCACACCATACTACACCAAACTACTCTTACTCCGTGTCCATATCCATACATGTACTTTGGTGTTAGCTTTACACCATGTGCACGGTGTTGACTTTGTAACACATTACAGAGTCATTTTTCCACTTTATTGTTGTGTTAAAATCTACTCTGATCTATTGAGAACTTCACACCAATCGGATAAAATCCAGGATAATATATAACTCCATTTCAGTGTCACTTGACCATGTAAGTTAGTGACTTTAATTAAGCCGTAGAGTAACTTGACATTATGATGGTGTAGCAATTACACAATGTGTTGTCACTTTCAATCGTAAGTGGTGAGGTCATTATCTGATTTTGGTGATTATTAACCAATATTGGAAGTCAATTTTTACTCCAAAACAGATTTAATATCACCGCGTTACTGTGTCTTTTCAACTTGTATAAATGATTAATTCACATGGAAGGTGTAAATGATTGATAATGGGTTTTCACCGTTCACATTATTTCATAATGAGTAGGTACAACAGCTATACCTAACTTATTTCAACTTCAAAAAGAGCTTATCAAAAAAGATATATCTACTTCTGTAGGTACCTAATTCTAAATTCTATACCTAATATTAATAACTTATACATTATTTTGAATTTCAAGACAAAATACACTTAATGCTAAGTCAAGAAGTATAAAAAATATTGTAAATGAAGGTAACATAGTTATAAGTATATCATACCCGTATTACGTATAATATGAAAATTTAACAAAATTTATACTTTGGAACAATACACCAAGTTGTTAATTTAGAACGTAATAAATACTTTTCAAAGGGTTCTTTATAAGTTAAATTTTCTATTTTTAAAAGAAAACATTCAGATTCTAAATTTTCGATAATGTAAACACATTTTACTTCATCATATTGTCGTGTTTTCCACGGTTTCGCCACTAAATATGGAGTTCCATCTGATAGAATAAGATCAACAATAAGGGAAAACTCAGGGAGGGCGGCCTTCATTCCCCTACATATGAAATAGCCTGATTTATAAAAAAAAGCCACCAAAAGACAACCACTTTAGTACACCAATATTTTTTTGGTTAGGAAACAACGATTTATAAATTGTGCTTTGAACAAGAATGTTTATCATAGGCCCGTACTCCATATGGGGTTCCATAATTTTATTATTCCACTGATGGCTCATATTTATTTGATGCTTATGTGACAACGTATTGCAAATAGCCGTAAAATTTTTTAGTTTGGGTACCAAATTTTTGAAATATCCATGTTTCGCCTCAAATCTCATAGTCCATAGATTAACTAATGGACCTAATGATTTCATAATCCGACAGTAATGAAGAAGCATATGATGTTTGGGTAGTCTGCGTTCATCAAAGTTATTATCAAAGAATTTAAGATGATTTTCAATAAGGCGTTCTAGCTTTTCTAGTTCTAGTTTAGTTATGCGTGGTGAAAGAGCAATTTGTGTTATTGATATTATGGAAGAAATTAAATAAAATTTTGTTTTTAAATCGTCATCTAATAGATCTTCTAATATTATTGGAATAAATCTGATTAAGCACCACGTTTGGGCAGCTCGTTGTCCAATTAAATGCCCTGGTTTATCTAATATTATTGGACTTGGTTTATTATTCCTATCTGTTTTACCAAAGGGAAATGCTTGTAACCTCGAATTAATATCACGTATAGTTGCTAGTTTTTTATCAACCAATAGCTTTAAGAATATTTTAATTTCGTAAGGAGCAATGCCTTCTAGGATATCGTGCATTGGATCCACTGAAGCAGAATCAAAAATATTAAAATATTTTAAGTCACATAACCCACTACGACATTTAACGCCAAGTACTTGCTTTTCATCTTTAGCTTGATTACAATGAAGCTCATAATTATTCATGTTCCGTAGTAAAGAAACATCTTCTCGTGTTAATGATTGGCAAGTCTTTTTATCAGCAGTACAAATTCGGCAAAAATTGTTGGCTGAAAAGCTCTCAACCATTCCCAATAATACATTACCACCTAGATTATCGTGTGATAAAGCAACAACCGAGCCAAAAATTGTTTTATTCTGAGGTTCGATAAAAATACCTTGAGTTTCTAAAACTTTAATATCGTTGACAATAGGTTCTAAAATAGCATTTATTCCAAACTGCTTAATGTCTGATGAATAACACAATGCAAGAAGATGTATGTGAGATAGCTGAGAATTTAAATAACTTGGTATGTTGGTTATGCTGAAGTAAAAAGCCCCAATTTTATGAGCTCCAGTTTTACTGCCCAGAGGATTCGTTGTTTCGAAATCGTCATAATATAGTATTATTCTGAGATTACAAGGGTTTTTAAAAAAATTATGATTTTTAATGTAAACACCGTCTTTAATATCATTTATGTACACGTCGTTACTCGTTAAATTAGTAGAGTGTTGTTCAAATAAATTAAAATATTGCTCACAAGTTAAAAGAGATGTTAACGTTGATAGAATAGGTACATAAGAAAATGTACTGGTTACATTTTTCTCAATATACTGCTGACTAGATTTATCAAATACTTGATCTCTACGTATGCCTATTGTAACTTGTTTGGGTAAGACTAATGATTTATGAATTAATTTGTTACGTTTGTAAGAAGTATTTAACAATTCAATGTCTTTCTTTATTGCTGCACTTCGGTTTTGTAAATTATCTAATAATTGTAAAGAGTTGTTACTGTTTGAATAAGCGTTGGTTTCTCCAATAATATTATCAACAACATTTTCAATTAAAAATTGTGTGGATTGAAAAATAATCTGTATGGTTGTTTCTGGAATCCCCAAAGAGTGTAACTTTGTAGTATATGCCAACAAATATTCTTTAAAATCAAAGTTCGATGCAGTATTGTCAAATATTTCAGTAACGTTACTATTAGTTTCACATTTAGCAGTATGTATATCATCTTGCAGTTGTTCAACTCCGGCAGGTAGTACAAGAGGAACTTGTACATTATCATTAACTTGGGTTACAGTATCGAAAACTTCTGTCAAATTATCAGAACTTACAACACAATTAAGAGTGTGACGTTTATAACCGCAGTAGGTATATAACTTTAATTTGCACTTAGTGCAAATCAGTTCAAAATTTGTTAAATTTTCATAGAGACAGTGTTGTTTTCTTAAATGCTTTGACAATAATTGAAAAGATTCAAAATTACTGGCACATTTAAAACAAACCAGCATTGTACTGGAATAAGTAAATCAAAAATCAAATAAACTAGCATTTGCTTATAAGGCGAGATTTATTATTGCGCTAATAGTTTTGATCGCAATTCTCTAATATTGGGCGTGATTTTAATATCGTCTATACCGTAAAAAAACACTTGAATGAATTTATAGAAAATTTCTAGTGTAGGGTCATAAGTTAAATTAAAAACGAAAAACGATTTAAAAAGGAGGTCAAAAGCTTGCCCAGAATTAGTAATGCTTTCCACCGCAAGTACCTTATTATCTACCGATATAGTGTAGTAATCTACCGCTTTCTCTGAAGATCCAGAAGCGATTAAAAAAGGTTGATTAGTTTTTTTGGCAGTAATTATTTCCTCGAGTGATTCACTGTTCTAAAAATTAATAATGTAAGCGTAACAAAGAAAAGGGTTGCTTAGTTCTTTACCTTTTTAAATACAATAAGCCTTTTACTAATTTCTGGCAGTGATTCCCTGTTCACCGCCTTTTTGCGTCCCTTGGATGTAGCTGGCAACAACTTGATCAACATAAACAAAGTTTTAGTTGTGACGTCAAATTGATTTAGGTATTCATTGTCGGAGTTTATCTCATTGCAATAAATATTTTTAACTTTTTCCGATATATTCAAAATTTGCAACTCCAGATTAATGCAGTCATTGTTGGGATACAGCAATCCAAAATCCAAAGATATCTAAAAAATTAATCGAGAATTATTTCAGATACAAAGGGTGTTAGTACAGTGGGCATTTATCAAACATATTGATATATAATACTAACCAGTCCAGGAGTGTCTAAAAACCTAGGAAATTCTTGAAAGATGTTAGTCTCGTTGCAAAGTTTTCGTCTAGCCAAAAATGTCGCTTTGAACTTCTCTATTAGGTCCGGATCTTTAGGATGGGTGTGTTTTAAATAGTCAATGTCCTCTTGGAAATTATCAAGGTTTATCTCTTCAACATTCAGTTTTGGTTTTTTCTGTGGTATTTCTGGCCTGTTTTCTTTTGAAGATCTTCTGACAGTTCTCAAACGCCAATCTATGTACCCAGATCGCTCGTCGGGGTTATAAAATGCTTCCTATAAGAAAATTGGAAGTTATTTATATTTTTTACAATAAGTAATTTAGATAGCAATAGCATGCAAAAAGCAAAATCATAGATTTCAACTGACATAGCCATATTTGCTGCATGGATCTCTCAAATTCGGGAAGAGGTCGATAATAGCTTTAGCATACATAGTCTTTATATATTTTAAAGGTTGTTGGCCGTATTTTTCTATCATATCTAACACAATCACGTTCACTAACAATCTTCGGTTTCCTCTTGTTAAAAGTTTCTTTGTTTCATATTCTGTGATAATCTGTGTAGCTCCTACGCGAATTAATAAGTTTTGCAAGGCCTGAAATGAATAATGTTAAATAACAAAATAGCTCGCAAAATAGTATTTACAGGGTGGTGTTTTTAAGTGGACCATTAGAAGTATCTCAGGAACGGTTTGGAATTTCGATTCGACCCATTATCTTTTTTGAATAATCGATCAAAAGGAATCATTTTAAAATATTTTCAAGATGGCCGGTTTTCGGGTTGTACCCGAACGATACCGGAACTTTCTTATTTCAATTGGCACTATCTCATAATTCCTCATAAAAAATCAGAATGACTTTGTCAATATGATGGTATGTCTAACTGGCATGGTTTTGAAGTTATTTGATATTTTTTCAGTGTTTCAGAGGTTCCGTAAATTAGCCATATCACTGTTGTCTGACAACTTAGCAAAATGCTTTTATCACCAATCGACAGCTAAAAGTTCAGGCTATCAAATGTTATTGGTCGGATTTTCAAATGCGAATCGAAAATAATGCGAACAAGAGTTCAAAGTAGACAATCGGTTTATCGTCAAAAACTCGATATTTTCAAATGGAAACTTTATTATGCATCAATGGAAAGACCATAAAAAAGCGGACAAAAAATGTATTTGCAAAATTTTTCTAAAGTGGTCAGTTTTCAATTTATTCGTCAAAAATAAAAAATTTTCAAATAGCAAAATCAGAACTTCATTCTATCCACCTCATAAATCTAGATGTCATCAATAAAATCACTCAAAACAGTTGAACATTTGAGTGTCATAAAGACGTCATAATTACTCATTTTATGAAAATTCAACAAAACAGTACACGAATCAAAATGAAACAACTGAATCGGTGACGTCTATACATTTTTTGTCTGTTTTTTTAATGGTCTTTCCATTGCTGCATAATAAAGATATGGTTTCCATTTGACTATTTCTCTCGTCTTACTTTCGACCAATCACAAACGCGCAATTTTGAATTGCACATGGTTTCTAGATGGAAAAACCGAATGACAGCACCTGTCAGTAGTTTTTTCGAGATTACCCGCGGCAAAACTTGACAGCTGTTGTCACCAAAAATTACATTACCTTTGACATTACTGATGAAATAGTCTTGTCAAATACCATTCGGGCATCAAATTTTTGCTGTGTAAAAAATTGAAAAAACACAATGCAAAGTAATATTTTGTTAACAAAATGCATTCGTGCAGCTGCAAAAATCCTCGTCTTCGACTCGGATTTTTGTTGCCACCAGCATGCTTCTTGTTAAAATATTACTTAGCAGCGTGTTTTTTCGATTTTTTCGGAAAAATTAGATGCCCTTATGCTATTACTACTGAAAATATCGAGTTTTTGACGATAAACCGATTGTCTATTTGAACTCTTATTCATATTATTTTCGATTCGCACTTGAAAATCCGACCAATAACATTTGATAGCCTGAACTTTTAGCTGGCGATTGGTGATAATAAAAGCTATTTCCTAAGTTGTCAGACAACAGTGATATGGCTAATTTACTGAACCTCTGAAACAGTGAAAAAATGTCAAATAACTTCAAAACCATGCCAGTTAGACATACCATCATACTGACAAAGTCATGATTTTTTATAAGAAATTTGAAAATGCCATCAGAAAAGATAGTGCCGTTTGAAATAAGAAAGTTCGGTATCGTTCGGGTACAACTGGAAAAGCGGCCATCTTGAAAATATTTTTAAATGATTCCTTTTAATCAATTATTCAAAAAAGATAATGGGTTCAATCGAAATTCCAAACCGTTCCTGAGATACTTCTAATGGTCCACTTAAAAACACCACCCTGTATAGTATTTGGAGATTTCCATGCAGCTTGACCATTAGATATCAACAAGAAGAAATATTTTTTTACGCAACTATTGGGTATAATTTACACTTTTTAAGGTTTCTATTGTAGGTAGGTAACTACCAATAAAAAATATTGCACCAAATGGAAAAAAAAGGGAAGTTATTGAACAAATTATGCATTAGGATATCTTGGACATTTGTGCATGAATAAAGTCGTTAGAAGCACTATTTTTTCAGTTACCTCTTTATCAAAACTACTTGGTACCGAGGTTGGTACAATAAATCCTTGCAAATCGTTGATAGTAACTATATCTTCACTACTCAAAGTTATTGTAGTCGACTCTGAAATCGTCGAGCTGGAACTGGAAATACTTGGAGCAGAGGGATTGGCATCAGCACCAGTATTTATTCGAGTATTTACAATGCGAAATATAAAACCCTTTTCTACTCCTTTTAAGAAATCGACAAAATCATCGTTTTCAATCTGGCATCCAGATGTGTCACACAGTATCACATCATTCGGATCCACATCATTGATATTGAACTTTTGCATAGCTAAAATGGAGTGAAGATGTGTAAGTTTGATGTGCCAGTACTTTTTAAGATAACTACGTACTTCGTAGCACCATTGAGTAAAGGATTTAGTTACTCAATGGTACCACTAATCGAAGCGCGCTAAAGATAACTTTGCGAGGGCGGACAGGTGCAGGTGGAACTGAATTCTCCTTTGTAATTACTTTTAAGATAAAGGTCTGTATAGGTAGTAACCCAGTCGACTGTACCTTTATGTTCAACTTCCCTAGACCCTATCCACCCTTACATACCTATCCCTATCTTGACTCATGAGTTTCATTGGAAAATACCCAATTTTACAAAAGTAACGCTTAAACGTGTAAAAAGTAAATCCGAGCTAAAAATGAAACAATAACCTACTATCAATACCTATAGATATTAATCATTGTGTTGAATCTGCCAATTGTGTGAAAAAAAATGTAGGTGCTTATATAAAATCTAACTATAGGTAGGTAGGTTATTATCTACAACCATTCATTGAACAAAAACAATTTGTTCAATGCTAGAACAGTAGTGCTAAAATTTTTATAATTCAGAATGCACTTACCTTGCAAAATAAAAGTTTGATATGTTGCCTCGTCTACGTTAACGGAAATCCACTTCAAATTGTTGTTAAACTCGATTTTAACAAACATATTCACACACTATATGCAGAGTAATCAATAGGTAAGATAATTCTTTAATTGGTATAAGCATAAGAGTAAAAAATTCTGTAAGTGATTAACTCTCACGGCACGCTATTAATAATTGGACTGGCAACAAAATAACAAACCTGCCATAAATGCTTACGCTTGTCGTTGAATGCACTCCATGGTAAGTGAAATCTTAAGCTGCGTCCCAGATACGCGCGCCGAAACTGCGCAAAACGTTTGCGAGCGTTGAGAAATGTTTTGCGCACAGCTGTCTTGTCTCTGGTTTGTGTGTGTGCTTGGCTTGTTTGCTAGGGTTCGCCAATTGAAACGGGTGAATAATTTTTTGGAGTGACCATATTGGATGATGATGTGCAAATCTCTGCAGCAGCATTTTATTATTCTTTTGCGACGCTATATAAAGAAAAAGCAAGACGCAGAGAAGACGCTATTGGATGACGTAAATTTTTTAAAAGTCGCAATATTTAATAGTGGCAGCAACCTGTTGAACGATTTATTCATTGTCACGCACTTGGACAGTTCAAAAAATTTTTGCGTAAATATCTTGTGAAGATTTTGAAA